GTCTTGTTCTTAGCTTCCATGAGAGAAGCATACTGAGACAGAAGCATAAACACTGATGACAACATAACAAAACGTCAGTGCCGTTTCCAAATTGTATGTTTGTAATGACCTGGCTGTAAGCAGGCGCATTTATCCAGCATAAACTCGCATTCCTTCAAGAGCACGTGCACATGCACAACAGCTCAGGCCACAAAGGAAGCCGAGAGGAACCATAATGCAGCTTATAGCCTCTAAACGAAATGAAAATTGCTTTTGAAATTTCCCCACACCTGGAAACTTTAAAAACGGTTCTGCTTTTGTGAAAAGAAAAACTGAAGGGAAAAATGCAAAATACTGAAATGAGCAGCATTGGAACACTTCATGTTGAATTTATGGGACACAACCAAGCAGTGCTTAGGGGAGGATGAGCAGTTTTTAAATACGTTTATCAGAAAGCAAGGAAGTAAACGGACAAAAAAGAGCCATTTTTCGCCTCCAGAGTTTGAAGAAAGAGCAACAGAACCACCCACAAGAGTAAAAAGAGGAAATAATAAAGATGAAGGTGCAAATTTAAGATCAGAAAACACAGAGGACAAAGAAAAGAAGAGAAATTAATAATCCTGAGTTTTCTCCCAGTTTCCTCTTGTAGTAACTCAAGCTACAGAGGAGAACTGGGAGAAAATGTTAGTGAAGACAGAAATGAGGCTGCGAGTGACGGGGTTGTGAACCTGCTCACGGGGGTTTGAAGATGGCAGGCCAAGTAAGCTGGGTCAAGCGTTCATACAAGGAGCACTGTGCGCCCCCGGGAAAGGCGGGGCAGCTGGGTGAACCCAAGTGGGATCAGCCGCGAGACGTGTGTTTAAGTCAAGAAAGCAATGCGTGTAACGGAGTTCAGGACATAGCTGCATTTGAGTAAAAACGGCAAATAAGGGGATCAATAGTGCATGAGACGTTGCTGTGTGGACCTCCTCGTTCCCACGTGCTGATGTCTACCCATGTGGGCGCTGGGACAAAAGGCACACGGATTGTGATTCTGATAGGTCTGACCGCAAGTGGCCTCAAAGAAGAAGGCCTCCTCGTCAAGGCGTGGACGATTTCTGGAAGGACACACAAATCTTCTAGTAGCCGTCGTCTCCGAGGGGCGAGACCAGGGACCTGCTGTGTGAGGGTTGTTGATTCTTTCACTGTCTATGTTTATATTATTTCACATTCTAGAGCGTCCAGTGTGTTGTACTTTCCCCTAAAGCTGCCCGTCTGTCCCGAGGCCTCTGCGTCTGTGACCATAGGGAGTGAACCCCACTCCCTGGAGGGGCTCCCGCAGCCGGCTGTCGGGGAAACTGCACCCGTCACACCGTTCTCGCCTGGGGCTGCTCACCAGCCCCTCGATGTGGACCGAATGCTTGTTCCCCAATTCCTGTGCTGAAGCCCAACCCCAGTGTGATGTGTGAGGAGGTGGGGCCTTGGGAGGGGACGAGGTCATGAGCGTGGGGCCCGTGATGGAAGGAGTGCCCTTGTGAGGGGGACCCTAGAGAGCCTGTTCTCTCTCCCTGCCACATGGGACGAGTGAGGACACGGTGAGAAGACGGCTGTCAGAGAGCCAGGAGGAGTCCTCAGGGGAGACCGAGCCGTGCCCACACCCCGACCCTGGACTTACGGCCTCCGGACTGTGTTGGAGAAATGTCTGTTGTTGAAGCCCCCAGGCCGTGATACTTTGCTCTTGCAGCCGGAGCTGACCGAGATGGCTTGTGGTTTAATGCCCTGAGTGGCATTCTGAAAACTTGGGGAAATTCACATGGAAGTTAAATCCTTTCTAAAAAAGAAATAAGCTTGACTCACCTGTGAGAACCTGACTGCACAGCTGGTGAGTCGCAGGCTGGAGGCCAGCCCCTGCGCTTGCTCCGGGAGGACACAGCAGACATGCACTGGAGGGTGGGGTGCCGGCAGAAAGGCCATAATTGCTGATTTTTATTTTATTTTATTTTTGGTGAGGAAGATTGGCCCTGAGCTAACATTTATGCCAATCCTCCTCCACTTTGTATGTGGGATGCCGCCACAGCACGGCCCCACGAGTGATGTGTAAGTCCATGCCCGGGATCTGAACCCGCAAACCCTGGGCCACTGAAGCAGAGTGCGAACCCAACCATTACACTGCTGGGCCGGTCCCATTACTGATTTTAATTAGATGCAAAAAACAGTTATGTGCTCCTGTGTGGTGGAAAAGGAGCACAGCCGTCGAAACTGGAGCCGTCAAATCAGGTTCTCTCTTCTGACACCTGTCAGTCTTATGGGAATGATTTGAGGGGGGAGAAGTCGTTTTGAAGTCGTTCTTTGAATTTGCTGGCATGAATGGTCAATGTTCAACTCTGTTTTCAAAGACCACGGACATACTTTTAACTAAATAAAAACAAGAAGCTTGAGGACGAAGCAGGAACCTTTGCCTCGTTCAGGCGCATTGAGGTCCAGAAACCTCCAGGCTGGGCAGCATTTGTCATTTGAGAAGCAATAATAAGTTGAGGCTAAGCCCATTCTTTGATTGAAAGCGCCTCATTTTTCAGCCCTCTGCCACAGGCTGTCCCGCCCTCCCAGGGAAAATTAACTTGTCCAAAGGCGATGCCTCCCCAGGGCCTGGCGCCCTGCTCTAGAGGACAGACTCATGTCAACATGTGCGCGGGTCTCTGTGGCCCCCACGTCCTCGTCCCACCCAGACCCAGGACGGAGGGCTCCTCAGGACGGGTGTGGCGGGACTTGGGCTCCTGTGATGGTGGAGTGGGTGTGGCTACGTTCAGCTGTTCTCAGACTTGTCCCGGATTCCGTTCACGAAAGAGAACTTCAGGCTTGGCTGCTTCCCGTGAGCGAGGAGGAGCTGGTGGGCTGGTGTTTTCTCCCTCGCTTCTGCAGTCCTGGAGGATGGTCAGAGACGAGTCCCTAGTCACTGGCTTTACCACCTCCCATGAGGTCGTCTGAGACGGGCTTCCCCGCCACGGTCACTGCTTTGCTGGACTTCTGAGGGCAGGGACGGGGTCCTCCCCAGGACATGGTGGCACCTGACAATGGGTGATCGACCGCTGGGGTTTGTTTTCTTTTTTAAAGATTGGCCCTGAGCTACCATCTGTTGCCAATCTTCTCTCTGTCTTCTTCTCCACAAAGCCCCCCAGTACATACTTGTGTATTTTTAGTTGTGGGTCCTTCTAGTTGTGGCATGTGGGACGCCACCTCAGCATGGCCTGATGAGCGGTGCCATGTTTGTGCCCAGGATCCAAACCCGTGAAGCCCTGGGCTACGGAAGCAGAGCTCGAACTTAACCACTGGGCCACAGGGCCGGCCCTGACAGGGGTGTCTTATCCAGTGTGCCCATGAATGCACCTTGGTCTAAATAGGGACAAGAGGCACCTTCCGGGAGGGACGCCTGGGGACGGCCTGCCTCAGCCCGGGACCCGGGCACCAGCCTCGGGAAGCGTCGAATGGAGATCGTGCTGCAGGCTGCCACGGTTTAATACACGAAAAGTCACTGTAGCGTCTGGGATGCAGGAGGCCGTCGACACGGGGCCTCGGGGACAGTAATGAGAGAGGGAAGCCGGAGGAGGGGGACGTTTCAAACCCTTGATGGAGCTGGGGAGAGCGCTTCAGTGGTTTGTCTGACTCCGGCCTGGGTGTTTAGCGGGATGTTGCAGGATTAGGCAAAAGCGGAGAGGCCTGAGGTGGAGGCGTGGATGGAGCCAGAGCTGTGCAAGCACCGTCCATGGGGCGGCCTGGGGCCGGGCAGCCAGCCCCGAGGAGCTGGGAGGAGAAGGAGGAGATGGAGTTGCACAGGCAGCTGGTTCCCCGATGGGGAGTGTCCACGAGTGACAGAGAAAGGCACTTAAGTGGTTCTCAAGGCCGTGGGGGCCTTCAGACATTTGTAATCCGGCTTCTGACCTACCTCACCCACTGCACCAAGTGTCTTAGAAAGCTGCCTGCACTGTCAGCATCTGAATAAGAGTATGGACTTGGGAGGCACGGAAGAGATGGGGAGGCAAGAACAGAGGGGGGAGCTGGGCAGGGACAGGTGCAGTGGAGGCCCGGCCGAGGGCTGGGAGCTGCCCCGTGTTGAGAAGTGCAGAGGGAGCGCTGCAGACGTGCAGGCGCGGGGCTGTGAGGACCTTGTGAATCCAGCCTCGCAGCCTCTAGACTTCAGAGTCTAAGTCACATTTGCTTCAACAGCGGTGGACACGTTGGGCACTAAAGCCGCCTCTGCGTGCTGTAAGTAAGGAAACGCTCGTGATTGCGTGTGAGGTTCTGAAACTGTGACAACGCTGGGACGTCCCAGCAGAGAGGTGTTACGTCATACTGAAGTAATGCCCGTTAATTTCTCAGAATTAAAATCTCGTTTAAACTCTGAAGCTCATATTTGTGGTTTGCTCTGATATTAATCCAGTCGGCATGGTTTTGCCAAAGTCTGAAAATTGGCTGTTGGTACTAAAAAAGTGATTCCTCACGTGATTTTCCTCTCTGGTAGATTGCATTCCTAGAGTGGGCGGAGGGTCTGGTCTTACGGTTAAAGGGTGGCAAACCCTTGCCAACGTGCGTTAAAGTTTGTGTGGATAGGGGCTGGCCCCGTGGCCGAGTGGTTAAGTTCGCGCGCTCCGCTGCAGGCGGCCCAGTGTTTCGTTGGTTCGAATCCTGGGCGCGGACATGGCACTGCTCATCAAACCACGCTGAGGCAGCGTCCCACATGCCACAACTAGAAGGACCCACAACGAAGAATATACAACTATGTACCAGGGGGCTTTGGGGAGAAAAAGGGAAAAAAATAAAAAATCTTTAAAAAAAAAAAAAAAAGTTTGTGTGGATAAAGCAGAGGGTTACGTCCTGTGGGAGGCAGAGCCGGTCTTAGGCTGTCGCAGCGTAAGTCTGTGGAGTTTCCAGTGTCTCAGAGGGAATCGTGGGCACTGAATTCCTGAGCTGTGTAGGGATTTTGTCTTTTCCTTCCATGTCTGGTCCTTTTGGGATGGTAAAGTAGCTATTTTTTGTCATATTGACAGGTGCATCTTTTGAGAAATGCTGGCGATGAAGTGACCGTCACTGTTGAATATCTCAGGGAAGCGCCATCATTTCTGAAGCTCCCGTTAGGTAAGGGCGGCCGGCGTCAGGGGCACTGGACTTCCCTCCCTCACGTTATGGATCCAAATGACATCGCACTGACCCAGCACGTATTCAGAGAGGAAGGACGAAGATAGGCACCTTAGTGTTCTGTGCTCCTAGGATATTCTACACTTTAATCCATCCGCACACTTTTTAAAAGAATGTATCAGCAGACACGTTGTCTGATTAATTGTCAATTAATTAACTGTAAGTTTCCTTCTTCAAGTCAACTTGTTATCTTTACGTGTACACACACATATGCACATATATAGAAACCAAGTTTTTGTGTTAAATATGTGTTGACTTGAGAAAGTTTTAATATGAAAGAGAAAATAATAGTAACTCTGTACTATGAAGTGACTCCCGTATTTTCACGCAGAGCTTGTAACTCTCTGTTGTACGTGAATTGGGATCCAGTGTGGAAGTGATAGATCACAAGTTTATAAAAATATTTTAATCAAAATAGTTATTATGACTTTTACTTACTCCATCAGCTGTCATGTTTTTATAAAATTTATAAGGATCTCATCGTTCCTCTGCTTTAGCTGCCTGGGTCAGGGGCCCCTCTGTCAGGCGCCATGCTCGGCCAGCAGAAAGGGCACAGTTCAGACTCCCCAGGAGCTGGCGCTCTGCACTGGACCCAGCACGGTCAATTCGGATGTAGAAGAGGGACCTCACGCCGACGGATGGAGAAGTGGCGCCCTCCATCTCACCAGCAGCCCCTTCTCCTCCTAGACTGTTCCTCCTTCCTTTCTTCCATTCTTTCTCTCGTGTGAAGGACTAGCTCCCTTCCCTGGGCTAACCTTATCTTCTCTGTATTTTCTGTCTCTTCTCCAATTTTCCTCTGTTGTCATGTTCCTCTTCTTTTCCTGCCAGACCTGCGCCCTGGTCACTCTCTGGGAGACGTATCCCCCAGAGTTGCTGAAGCCCAGTCTTGCATAAGGGTCTACGATTGACAAAAAGGGTCAATGACCTCATAGTCCTGTCTCTACTTTCATCTTCCTGAGTAACTCTGAGAGAAGCAATTTCAGCAACTCCATTGTTTTCCCGTCAGACCACAACAGGATAACTATGCTATTCACTTCTTAGAAAAATGGATATTCTTGCCATTGCTGTGAAAATGCATCACTAAGATTCACCGCACGTCCTGTCTTCTTACAAGACCAACACGTCTGCAACAGGAGCAGCTGACAGATTGTTCCCAGAGGGTCCAGGATGAAAAGAAAAGGGACACCGAGGGATTGTGTGTGCTGAAAGGCAAGTACTCCCAAAGCAGTGGAAAACATTAGCGATCAGGCCAAAAGTTCAGAGGAATAATGCACATAGCACTGTGTTATGTCCGCGGGATTTTGAGACCTGTCCATGTGAGCCCGGAAGGCCGACCTGAAAGTTCTTGGAGCCACAGGGAGGCGCCACCATCCCTGGGGTCAAACACTCGTTGGGTGCACACACCCAAATTCTCAGAATGGTGAGAGGACCCAGGGGTCGGGGCATGACTAGCGTTTGATATTCTGTAGCAGATGTAACCCTCAGGATCGTGAAGGATGACGCTAATCTACGATGTTTCACAGATTTTTGCCAAAGAAGAAGAATGTAGTAGGTTGAAAAAGAGAAGAATCAATATGTTTGAAAAATGCAAAGGCAATAGCACATTCGACTTGTGTATCCTAAAGAGAGTTTCACACCCTCCCGTCCCTCCCCCTCATGGCCAGTTGCACCAAGTTCTTGGGGACCATTGCATGAAGCCATAAGCATGTGCGAGAAGTTTGATGGAGTGGCTGAAGGGGGCCAGTCTGACGTGGAGGCTCCTAATCCCCTGGGGCTGATGGAACGGAACATGCAGGCCGGGGGCCTTACACGGCAGATGTTTGTTTCTCACAGTCCTGGAGGCTGGAGTCCAAGATCAAGGTGTCAGCAGCTTCAGCATCTGGCTAGGGCCTCCTCCTCGTTCATGGGTGTCGTCATCTCGCTGTGTTTTCTCGTGGAGGCAGGACGAGGGGCTCTGTGGGGTCTCTGTTGTAAAGGCACTAATACCGTCCTGGGGCTCTCCCTCATGACCTTGTCACCTCCCAGAAACCCCATCCCCCTGGGGGTAGGATTCCAACCCATGAATTTAGGGGATGCACGTTTGGTTCATAATTAGGGTGAAAGAAAGCTTGCAGCGTGGGTGAAGTGTGGAGATCAGACTAAGGGGAGGTCATGGAGAGAAGGCGGGCATGGCACTTGGGGCATCTCCGTGCTGTGACAGTGAAGACAGATGGAGCGCGCAGTCACTCAAGGCCTTTACATCTCAGAAGGAACATCTGAAAGAACAATGATTGTAAGATGGCCACAAGCAGAGTGAGTGGTTGTCTCCTCCCACACTTGGGGTTGCCCTTTAGGATGGGATGAGCAGACGGTGTCCGGGGTTCCACAAGGGTTCCTTCCGGAAGAGTGGAAAGGCCGTGACGGTCAAGGTTGAGCGCTCACAGGGACCTCAGGTATGCGACGTTGTAGATGTGGAGGGCAGCTAGTTCAGAGCATAATGCTACCAGCAGGCGTATCAGTGCATGCCCGGGCCGTCCGTCCTGTGGCATCCGTGTGCACGGATGGAAAGCAGTGGGCATTTTGCAGTGTTGAAGGAAGGCCCATGAGGTGTCGCCCAGGAGCTGGCACAGGGGCACTGAGGACGTTTGTATTAGGACTTTGCCGTCTTCCCCTATAGTCAGGGTGACTTTCATGGGAGAGTGAGATGGGTGGGGTTTCTAGGCCAGCTGTCACCAATGTCATTGAAGCAGTGGAGTTAAAACAACCACAGCAGCATCTTAAAACCAGTGTCAGTCGGAGGAAACACCCTACGCTGAAGGTCTCTAACAGCGAGCCCTGATCTGAGCCACCACAGGACCGAGAGTGACATTCCCTCTGACCTGGGGCAGCTCTCAGATTCTCACGCCTCAGCCCATGGTGCTGGATGCTGTTTTTCTTAGGAGAGGCATCAGAACTCTGTCCTGTTCCAGTGACCTTGTCATTTCTCCCGGCTTTCTGGCGGATGCCCTGTGCACAGCTCCACTAACTCCTGCTGCACCTGCGTCAACAATGTCCACTGAGCAGGTGGGTCAGCATTTCTGTAAAGGTGCCCCCGGTCCCAGGGGAGAGCGATTTAGCCATGAGCTGGAGCCCAAACCCTGTGAGCCCGGCCTCCTCACGGCCATTGAAAACTCTGCTGAGTCATCAATGTATGTTCTCCTTTTATTGCGTTCTTTATCATCTACAAGAATGAAAATCTTTGTATCCATAAAAATTTAAATACGGTGGACATAATCCCTTCCTAAACTCAGACAAAACATCCTCTGGTGAATTTACACCATGAAAGCAAGATTGATTTTCTCTGTGTGGACCCCACACACCCAGTCATTGTCGGTGTGAGCCAGCAGTCAACCCACAGCAGGAACCTGGGATGTGGAAAACACCACAACAGATGCACGAGGACGCTGTCCAGTGACAACACCATGACAGATCCATGAGGACGCTGTCCAGGGAAAACACCATGGCAGATCCACGAGGACCGTGTCCAGGGAACACACCACGACAGATCCACGAGGACGGCGTCCAGGGACAACACCACGACGGATCCACGAGGACGGTGTCCAGGGAACACACCACGACAGATCCACGAGGACCGTGTCCAGGGAACACACCACGACAGATCCACGAGGACGGCGTCCAGGGACAACACCACGACGGATCCACGAGGACGGTGTCCAGGGAACACACCACGACAGATCCACGAGGACCGTGTCCAGGGAACACACCACGACAGATCCACGAGGACCGTGTCCAGGGAACACACCACGACAGATCCACGAGGACCGTGTCCAGGGAACACACCACGACGGATCCACGAGGACGGTGTCCAGGGACAACACCACAACGGATCCACAAGGACGGCGTCCAGGGACAACACCACAACGGATCCACAAGGACTGTGTCCAGGGAAAACAGCATGACAGATCCACGAGGACAGCGTCCAGGGACAATACCATGACAGATCCACAAGGACGGTGTCCAGGGACAACACGACGATGGATCCACAAGGACGGTGTCCAGGGACAACACGATGACGGATCCACGAGGACGGCGTCCAGGGACAATACCATGACAGATCCACAAGGACGGTGTCCAGGGACAACATGATGATGGATCCACAAGGACGGTGTCCAGGGACAACACGATGACGGATCCACGAGGACGGCGTCCAGGGACAACGCCACAACGGATCCACGAGGACGGCGTCCAGGGAAAACAGCACGACAGATCCACGAGGACAGCGTCCAGGGACAATACCATGACAGATCCACAAGGACGGTGTCCAGGGACAACACGACGATGGATCCACAAGGACGGTGTGGTGTCCAGGGACAACATGACGACAGATCCACGAGGACACCATCCAGGGAAAACAGCATGACGGATCCACGAGGACGTCGTCCAGGGACAACACCACAACAGATCCACGAGGATGGCGTCCAGGGACAACACCACGGTGGGTCCACGAGGACGGTGTGTGTTTTCAATATTTAAAAATTACGTCAAAGAGAAAATGAATGGTTTCTGAGATTGAGTCAATGCTGTCTCTTATTTTTTGCATAAATTCAGACTCAGTCTTTTTTTTAAGATATAATTTATGTGATATAGAATTCACCATTTTAAAGTGCATACTTCAGCAGTTTTAGTCTTTTCACAAAGTTGTGCAACCGTCACCACTATCTAATTCAGGAACATTTCCCTCCCCCCATAAAGAAACTCCATTCTTCCTAGCACTTAGTCCCAGTTCTCTCCTCCCCCAGCCCCTGGCAGCTTCTAATCTGCTTTCTGTCCACGTGGCTTTGCCTGTGGAGGACATTCGTATAAACCGAATCATACAACGTGGCCTTCTGCGTCTGGCTCCTTTCACTTGGCATGATGTCTTCAAGGTTCAGCCATGTTTTGGCGTGTGTCAGTCCTGCGTTCCTTTTTTGACTGCCTAGTGCTCCAGTGTATGGATGCACCACATTTGGTTTCTCTCTGCATCAGTCAATGGGCATCTGGTTTCTTTCCACTTTGGGGCAATTATGAACGATGCTGATACGAGCGTTCATTTGCGGGTTTTTGTGTGGTCTTGTTTTCAGTTCTCTTGGGCGTATACCCGGGGGTAGAGTTCTTGAGTCACGTGGTAACTCTGTTTCACTTGGAGGAGCAGCTACACTGTTCTCACAGCAACTGCACCACCTTACATTCCCTCCCGCTGGGCACCAGGGTGGTCCATGTGGTTTTGATAGATTATAGTTCATTTTTGAGGTTAGGTGTTTTTATAAATATTGATTGTAAACTATTTGTGTTGACTCTTTTCTAATATAGTTGGTTTTTAACACCAACAATTTTATTTTTATCAATAATTATTGACACTGATCATTTTTTAATAATGGTTTTACGGGTGATAAACAGAAGAAATATATTACAACCGTTCAAATTTCTCTTGAGATATAGATGAAAAAATACTCATTCATCAGAAATAAGTTAATAGAAACCTGGAGCTTACAAATAAGTGTCAAATTAAATTGTAGTCACTCACTCACTCACCTCCTCAGTCACTCAGTGGTAGAAATGCTGAAAGAAGAGACGGGGGCTGGCGCAGAAACAGCCCTGTGAGGTGGGAGCTGGTCTGAAGCCGGGTTTCGCACAGCACCAAATGTGCAGCAGCTTTACCGTAATAAATGGAAACAGAAAAGAAAGTTGGGTTGCCAAATTAAACTGAGAATGACTTTAAGCAAAATTAAATAGTCCTCACTTCTCCCAAAGTCTCAGAGCCGTTTAGTACGTTCCTTCGCATGTAGGAACATGGCGTGGAGTGTCTTATGGAAATATGGGGTCCTCACGGATTTTATGGATGGGAAAAGGATTCAGAGAGGCTGCTAGCTGGCTGACCCTGCACCTCGCCAAGTGTAGGGTGGGATCAAGGGGGAGTGTGGCTGCAGGGTCCCCGCATCCCCACCCATGCGCTCCCATCTGCAGTAGGAGATACTGTGGTTTGCAAATGAGCGCGTGTGCGATGCCATCTGACCTTCATTTTAACCCTGGGATGTGGATGCAGATCCAGCAGTAGGGCATCCCGGGAACAGAGGTGTCAGCTTCATCAGTGTCAGCCTGTCTCAATCAGGCGTTCCACTCCAGCCTCACATGCTCTGTTCCTGCAGGCGCTTGGGGGCGGGAAGTTCCAGGCTGTGTTCTGCTGGCAGCACTCTGTAGTTGTGATGATTTATGGCTGGTTGATGACAGATCATGCTGCCGTGCCATCCTCAGTACCACTTCCCTCACATCAGGCACTCAGATCACCTCATGACAGACCCCTGGATTTTGCTCAGGGGTCGACAAGGGCGCCTTCACTGTAACGCCCAGACGCCCTCGGACTCACTGCGGGAGTTTCACTTGGTCAGGCTGCAGGTTCAAGTGCTTGTCCTTGTGTGGCGTCAGCACAAAAAGGATGGACTGAAAAGCTGGGCCGCACACAGAAGCTGCCCACACTCATGTTCTGGCGAGAAAATATTGGGGGAGGCATGAAAAGAGCACAGCCTTTCCTCTTGATGCTATTCGCAGACAATGGAAATGCCGTGAAACCATTCTGCCTCCCCGTGAAAACGCACCATCAGTGTGAAGATCCACGAAGCCATCTTGTTATTGTTGAGCGGTCTGCAAGCCTGGTGGTGCTGTCCAGTGTTTAAAGGGAAACCAGGTGGACTGAGCACCTGCCTTTCCTGAGCTGTGCCAGGTGTGTGGTGTGAGCCTTCGAATGCTCTCTCTGCAGCCCCCTTCGAGTGTTTGCTATGATCACCTCTTTTCAGGGAAAAGAGGTCACAAACAGGAACTTACAGGGTCCCACTAATTTTCTCATCTGGGAAGTGGTGATAATTAACAATACCGCATCAGAGGTTTGTATTTTGAAGTAGTAAATGAAATGACACACACATGGCTGTTAATTCAGTCCTCGATGAGTTATAAGGATGCTGTGATGACGTGACGAAGGCGTGCTCATCTTTGTCTGCATCTGGTCCATTTTTACAGCGTCATCTGCAGGAGTGAGGACACAGAAGCCTACAGGGCCGGGCAGGCAGCCTAACTGACCCTGGGGTTTGGGCACAACACAGCCAGGAGGGTGCAGCCCCTGCTGAAGGGGACGGTCCTGCCCAGCTCCAGCCATTCTCTTTTAGAAACTGTGCCCTAGTAGTGTCATATTTTTCTCGTTTATCCGGAAAGTCAGAAATCTGGATTTTTAAGTGAAATGTCTTGTTTTTTGTCAGACAAAAAAATTTGTAGGTCAGCTTCAGCTTCGTCCTGCCAGTTTGGTACATCTGCCTCATGTCATTTATTCCCCCCAATAATTGGCTACTGCAGGGGCAACGTTGGCTTTGGAAATTTCAAGCTAAAAGAAAGTGTCCGGGACACACACTGAACCTGGGCAGGCCCTCCGAGGCCCCCCGGCCGCCCCCTTATTGGTGAGGGGGCTGGAGGTCCCTGGTTTCTCAGTGAGGTTGCCAACTGAGTCCAGAGGCAGAGAGGGAGCAGCCTGAGAGCGGCAGTAGCTGTGGCCTGGGGCCACCGAGTCACAGCCCAGCTTCTCTGTTGATTCAGGAGCAGACACTCCCCGCTCGCAGGCCTGAGCCGTGCTCCACTTTTCCTTGATGCCCCGGCCTCTGGTGGCCTGTCCAGGCCCGTGGCTCCCGAGCTGCCCGCATGGTCCCAGCGCAGAGTGGGAACTAACATGAGCCCACACGCTCGCTGCCCCTCGTGGTTTTCTGTCAGCCTCCCAGCAGATTGTGAGATGCTGGAACCCTGCTGTCTCACGCTGGAGGGCAGAGTGGAGACAAGATGCTCTGCCCCACCCATGCCCAGAGCTCACCTGGTGCCTCCAGGACCACAGCTGAGAGAACGAATGACGGGCATGGTGGTGGGGAGCAGGTGTGGGGACAGGGCCCCAGGCCCCACTGCTGGGTGCCTCCAGTCAGAGGGGTACGACGGGGATCATTTAGACCAGGGTATCCTTCTGGAAGAGAAGGCCATGGCTTAGGAAGTACTGACTTGCTGGGGATGAGATAGTCCTGTCGGATCCTCAGTTCCCCGGGTGGCGCTCCAGGCCCCCTGACCTTGGCTCCCTGCTGAGTCTCTAGCTGCTGCTGCTTCTTAAATACCACTGTCCACACACTTACTGATTTATCTTTATTTCTTCCACTAAAGCAATTTGTAGCACAAAGGTAATCAGAAAGTGTCAAACAAATAAATAATACCAAAACTAAGACCAGGAAGTCACTTTTAGAAAATTAGCCAACATTATCCCAGTGGTAGCAAGTGCAAATGGACACGGTCCCCATGGGACCAGGGCTGACGCCCCAGGTACCATGTGGGGGAGGCACCGGCATGGGAGCCGCTGTCCTTCTGGCCCCGTAGGCCTCACGTGCAGTGGGCACTGGTCCCTCCTGCCCTGCTTTCCGCTTGAGGTGCTGCACGGGCCGCATGGGGCGAGGGGCAGCGTGGGACCAGGCTGTCCCGGGCACCCGTGTCTCCAGTGGGGACCTGGCGTTTGTCGCAGCAGCTTCCTCAGGGGGCATTGAAGGTGTCTGTAATCTCCGGACCGTCCCTGAGCCCCATTTGGAATGAACGTCTCTTTATTTCCAGGGTCCCCGGGACCATCCAGCGACCATGGCAGTGGGGCGTCCTCACCCCTCTTCGACAGCGGCCTGCATCTGAACGGGACCTCCGGCAACACAGTAAGCCTGGCTCTCCTTCCCCTTCCCCTCCCTGCCGGCCGCTCCCCACAGGCCTCCCCGGCCAGGATTTAAAGGCCACTCCATTCCCCACAGAGAGATGCTGAGAGTTCAGGGGAGACTCACAACGTGGATTTGGGACGCACTTGTTCGCACATGGGACGCCTTGCCATTGCATTTTTTAATGCAATGATGTTTTAAGGATATTTTGAGTCATAATTCGTAATAGCTTAGTGAGCAGGCAGGAGTGCTTAGTTTTGGGGTGGAGTTCAGAGTCCTGCCTCTGATTTACCATGAACACTGACTGCAGGAGTTGCGGAAAGTTGTTTTCAGGAAGCTTCCGTCAGATGCACACACAGCGGACCCTGTGGAGGGTTTCTTCCTGAATTGGTAGAAATCTCCTGGGATGTGTGATGCCATGTATTGGCGACGAGTGTTTGTCATGTTCTAAATCTCCACCCTCCCGAGATGAGAGCTGAGCGGAGGAGGGGGAGGGGCAGCTGCCCTGGGCCTCGGCTGCAGGCCGCCCCCGCAGACCGGCCCTGCCCCGGGAATGTGATGAGCCCTCCTCTCTGCCTGTGGGTTCCTCACTGGTGAGCAGTTAGTGATACGAATTAGACTCCCGTGGGCAGTAGGAAAGAGAGTTTCCTGGGACATGAGATCCGCACGCACCATGAGGACGACCAGGTGCTTGACCTGCAGGCAGAGCCCAGGGGACAAGGTCGTGTGCGCACAGTGCGTCTAAAGCATCACACTTTTCATTTTTAGTCTTTAAGTACAGTTCTTGATATTTAAAAATTGCACTTCGTGTCTATGTGAGTTAGGAAGCAGAATGGAAGAAGAATGCCCGTGCGCTCGCAGCTCAAATCAGTAATTAGAGTTTGGTCACTGACTCACACGTCTGTAACATGTCGCTCCTGTGTTTCCCGACAGGCCCAGGAATAAACGGCATCCTGAATCTTGAGTTCGTCATCTCCTTGATAAAAAATAGCTTTGTCCGTGTTGATTTATCCCTAAAAATATACCATTTCATTTTGCTTTGAGCATTAGGAAATATTATTCTGTCACGGGCTTTTGGGGGTCACAGATTTACTTACTGTTATGTTTTTAAGATGCATAAACGTGGTATGTGGGCCTAATGTTTTGGAATTCTGAGTTCTAGATGACACCAGTGTTTGACTCTCAAAATAGTGACAACTTCTGTGCACACGTGGCTGCCCCGTTTACCGTCCCCCCAGCACTGGGGTTTCTGGTGACCCCCAGCCTCTCCAGTGCTGGGGGTTTGAGACTGAATATTTCCAAGCACAGTGGGTGTAAAATATCTACCGTCTCCTGGGGTTTGTTCTCATTTTTGCCTTTATTGAGGACCTCTGTCTGCCTTTCCTGTTCCATTTCCCTTTGGTTTCTCCTCTTCTGAGAAATGCTTTGCCTGCTTTTGCCCATTTACACGTAAGTTGTTTGTCTTTTCCCAGCTGGTCCATTGGGATTCTTCATATAGGCTTGGAGTTTGTATTCTGTTGGTGATGGTCACAGACCTGTTCTCACAGTGTTCTCATTTAATTTACACTATCTTTTGATAAAAGAAGTTAATTTCAGTGTAGCCAAATGTGTCCGTTTCTTCCATTAGAGGTTGTGGTTTTAGGATTGTGTTTGGTCCATCTTTCTGTACCCTTAACTCATGAAGATGTCTGCTCAGATTTTCTCCTAAATATTTTTAAGGTTGTTTTTCACTTCAGGTCTCTAAAGCAGATGAGGTGCATTGTGGGAGAACTAGTGGAAGGCTGGGGACCAGACCCATTTTCATGGGAAACCATTTGCCCCAACCTGTTTCCTCAGTGACCCTCAATGCCACATGACCGTAGGGCTCCACACAGCCTGGCCCTGGGGTCACTGCTGGGCCCTCACCATATGTCATGTGTCCATGTCCTTACCAGCACCACACTGCTTCATTACCAGATCTTTGTCATAAATTTTGTCGTCTGTAGGCTAAGCCCTCTCACCACCTCCTAATTCACCTTATTTTTTCCTACTTCTCTCTCCCTTGTCTTTTTGTGTGTGTGAATTTTAAAAGCCTCTGATCAGATTCCACAAAAAGTCTTGTTGGGTTTTTGATTGTGATTGCATGAAATTTAGATCTATTGCTGAGGTCTTCTTTCCTGTTTGTGAAAAGGATATATAGCTCCCTGATTTACTTCTTCTTCAATACTCTTCCATAAGGTTTGTTCTTCTTTAATGAATTTCGGCAAAGGACTGTAAATGCTATTAGTTTTTTCAAAGAACCAACTTCTGACTCGATAGATCCAGCTTGTCGAACTCGGCTGCTGGTGGGCGCAGCTTCCTACATGGGGACTGGATTCAGGGCCCTTCTGATTTCTCCTACTTCTCACGCCTCCTGTTTTCTGGCTCTGAGACAGTTATAGAAAATTCTCGGCCTTTGTCTTGGCAAATGGCCCATCTTCCCTCCAGTCTCTCTGCTGGAACCCACGCTGGACATGTATGAGCTCCTCATTCTCTCAGTTATAGCCTTATTTCTTTTTCACATTTTCTTTTCCGTGTCGTTGGGCTATATTCTGGGAAATATCTAAGATTTTTGTTTCTTTTTTCTTCAACTTTCTACAGTATCCTGGTTAAACCATCCGTTGTTTTTTTAAATTTTCAACAAGTATCAGCCTAAATATTAGTCCTCTCAAAGGAGAGGGTCTCTACAGAGCATGGGACATACACCCAGTAGTCGTTTCAGGAAAGATTGGCCCGTATGGGTGAGACGGTGTGCACAGCTGGAAAAGCAACACGACCACAGTGCTGGAGAGGAGCTGCCTGGGTCCCTCCCACTGTGGTGCTTCTGTGGCCTCAGGTGGTCAGTCCTGTTCTCAGGGCTGTGGAGGGCAATATGGTCATGCTGAAGGTTCTGTGGAAATACGGAGATGGCGAGAGTGACGAGACTGGCATGATGCTTTTAGTGTGCTATCTTCGGCCATCTTCACCATCCTTACCAAAAAAGAAAGAAAGTGCAGAACTTCTAAATGCTGGGTAATTATTCAAATGGTTCGTTCACCTGCAAAACAAAATGCCATCAAGTTGTTTAAATTCATTACAGAGAATCTGAATTTCAGAGAGTTAAAAAATAGATTTAATATGTTTTTTTGAAAGATCTCAAGACTCAGTGTCCTGGAAAATGTTAAAGTTAAAGATGGCCCACTTGGTTTTCCAGGCAGCCACGTCAGTAATCTAGTAGCCAATTTGCTCTACATTCTTAAGCACTAGTTTTCTCTTTTAAAGACTATTTAAAGCCTTGTGATCATTCTTTGCACTCAATGGTGGATTATATCATATGCAGCAAAATGATAATGCTGGAATTAACAGTGTCTGTGGACTGGAGAATGAAATAGACTGCTCTGTAATTCTTCTTATCAGAGGAAGTGAGTCAGAAACGTTCTCAGGCTCCAAGGATTTAAGCCGTTTTCCATGGCTGCGTCTTCAGACGTGCTCATATCGCTTTCGTCCTCCCAGGACCAGACCTGACCGAGCAAGAAACAAGTTTGCTGTGTTCAGAGCGGCTTTACAGTCACAGGACCCCAGAGGGCTGGTTTTCGTCTTCGCGACTGCACACCACTGACCTTGATGCTCTCGCAGCCCCTCCTTGCAGAGGTGGAGTGAGCGTGCGCAGTGCGTTTTCTCTCTGCCCGTGATTGCTGAAGTGATTCCCTGTGCTCCCTTGTGTGTTTGACAACATCTCTATGTTTGCAGTTGAAACTAAATTATCTGCTGCTCGCTTCCCCAGGTGCTGCATTCTCACTCTTTCCTCAGCTCTCCCAATAAGGCGATGTCTGCTCGTGGATTTTACTTGCAATTTCCACACGTTCTCTCCTCACACTTGGGTATGGCTCACATAGTGTAAGATTCTAAGTCCAACATTTACACTATTTTGACTCTATTTTTGTGTCAAAAATCCTTACTGAATATTTATAACAACCGCCAAAAAAATCTCATTCACTTTAATATCATCTATTTAGATTTGAAAATGTGTGTTGCAAGATTCACGGCTCCTTCCACCCTCTCCTTCCGCTCTTCTGCAAATTCTGCTCTGGCCCCTTGTTCGTTGGTTGGTGTTGATGCTCTCCTTCACAGAGGGCTCATAGAGGGTACTCCTTGACTGCTTGCTTGTCCAAAAATGTGTCCCTTGTTCCTGAGAGATTTGTGGTGCTTTCTGGGTGTTCTTGGACTACTGGGTGCCACCCTCAACCTCTGAGAGACCTTGAATGCTTGCTGATGTCTTCTGCTTCACCTGTAGCAGACATGAAACTAATGCTGGCTTGATTAATTTTCCTTTGTAAGAAGACCTCACCAAAAATGAATAAGGAGATACGATTAAAGAACAAAAAATTTCTGATAGTAAATTTTCTATAGTAAACCTGATTCCCTAAACTTAAAAATTTCAAAAGATTAACTCAACAGGACTAGAGTCATTGCATATAACTGAATGACTCAAGAACTGTATAGGAAAAATATATCAAAACCAAAACAAAAACAAAATTTTAAGGGAAACAGATAAAGGAGCAGATATAAAGGAGCAGATAAACTTATAAATAGTAGCTGCAAAAAAAGAAAAAGAAGATAGAAAAATAGTTAAACAAAAATGTTAACAAAATATCAAACAAATAAAGACACAAATAAAAGAATAAATTGAGTCTTCTGAATGAAAGTAAGGATGGACTCCCAGGCAGAGATAATGAATGATATTCAGCTGTTTTAACTGAAGTATAAGGCACATACAGGGAAGTGACAGCTCAGTAAATGTTATAGCACCCTGGCCAAACTATAACACATCAGCAGAATCTCAAACGACCATTGCCCTGAAGAAGTAATCTTTATTTTGACCTCAATCACCATAGATTAATTTTGCCTGCTTTTGAATTTCACATGGATGAAGTCAGACTCTTTTGTCTGGCTTTGTTGCCAAAAGTCAATCTTAAAATCAAGTACAGGAAGCATAGATCACTTAG